ATAAAAAATAAACTAAAATGTAGTATATTCACACAATGGAATATTATTCAGAGACAAAAAGATGAAGCACTGATGCACACTACAACAAGGATGAACCCTGAAAACACTATGCTTCATGAAAGAAGCCAGTCATAAAAGATCATTCTGTCTGATTCCAATAATACAAAATGTCCAGAACAGGCAAATCTATAAGAAACAGAACAGACTGATAACCTAGGGCTCGAGGTTGGAGAGTTGGGAGGAAATGGGGAAGGAGTGACTGCTAAAAGGTTTGGTGTATCCTCTGGGGGTGATCAAAATGTTGTAAAATTGATTGTGATGGTTACACAACTGTGTGAATATAGTAAAAGCCACTGAATTTTACACTTTAAATGACATCTCAATGAAGCCATTAGTTGTTCGTTTTTTTTTTAAGTAAAGCAGAGGCTGTGTCCAATGAGTAGATCATTGAAATATAGCAATAAAAAGTGAAAACTCGTAGTATAACTGAACTACATCCACTTTTTTTTTAGTATTTCCTCCTTTTACTTGTTCAATTACTAAATCAAAAATCAAAATCCAAATGAATCCTTTTACCATAGTCTCTACTTTCAAAAAGTAGTTAAGGATCTCTATCATTTCCATTCTCATAAAGCAAATACAAACTTGGGCAGTATCAGATAATGACAGAATTTGAATTTAGTTTCTCTACAATACAGAAGAACAAGTTACCCTTTGAGTGAAAAAGTTTTAACTTGGAGACTTTTCTAGTTAGCTCCCAGTTTCCCACTAGCATCAAGTAATAGAAATGAAATGTATTAGCACATTTACAGATTCAAGAGCTGTGCTTTTGACAATTTGTGAAGAATCAGGATAGTCACAACATGTAGTCATTTACAAAGGGCGACAATTCTACCTATCAGAGCTCCGTAAGGATACTGCATGAATTTTAGTGGCTCCATCCAGCTAAGCTATTGAACAAGGCACTGAGGTAGTGAGCAATTCTAGTCCAATACCTCCAATTCAGCTGGCAATATGAAAACACTTCTGGATCTGCAGAGGCACTAGGATAGAACCCTTGCAAATGTCATGGGTCAATTATGTTATCCATCATAAGAACTGAAGCCAAACAAAATACATTGTACTACTTACGGGAAATATTCTAAATATATAACCAAACTTCACCCAAACTAGGTGTAATTTTCTATGCCTATGGCCCTACAGACCCCACGATTTTATAAACAGAAACTTTTTTCTTAGTTGTATCATAAGGTTTTGTTTTTAAACATTAACTCTTATGCTATAATAGAAAAAACACCCAAAGGTACTTAATTGAATCAAGCTTTAAGAAAAACTGTATTACTGCATTTTTACCGTAAAGAAAACAGAAGTGAATAGAAAATTGAAAGATGTACAGGTATGTGTTTCTTATAAAAAGAAATAATTCAACTTATTATCAAAGTATTTTGTGGATACTTTTAAAATATCTAGACTCATTCAAAACCTGAAAAGAAAAATTAAACAATACCACAGTAGTTCCTCTAAAAATGCCTTACACAAACATATCTGTCTACACGGAATGATAGAATTCAGAGAGACTTTATATTCCCAACGTTGTCTACATGACAGACTCAGAGTACTTTAACACATGCTAGTTCCTGCAAAATAATTCCAAGAAATGCTAAAATGGACATCACATAAGAGATGCACCAAAATTCAGAGGTGCCATCTCTAACTTGACAAAATAGATATAACTGGGCTGTACTAGTTTAATAAGGCTCCAGAAAATAAGGGTAAACCACACTCGAAGTGAAATGTAACACACAGTCAGCCACCCTGACTGAGACCACTAATAACAGATAAAATACTTTCTCCGTTCTGACTGCCTAAACAGGCACACTCACAGATGTTCCCTCATACATAATCTTTACCTGTGATAGTGAGCTAACAATTACCCAAAAGGCAACCAAACAAAAGGCAGGATTTTAAGAGGCCTGAGTGCTAGTAAAGATAATACACAAAAAGAGTACTAGATGAATATGATTTTGACTCCTTCTAGTAGGCATATAGCTTTAATTTAGAATATCTCTGTAAATTAATTATTTAGTCATTAGGGCACAAATACAGGCAGCACAGAACTTTCAAAAATCAACCACAAAAGCACTGTTAACTTTGTGCCAAAAATAAGCCAAACTAAAATTATGGTCTAACTTCACTTTCTTAAGATAGTAACCACATTCTCACTGAAATATAGATGGAGAGATTTACTATAAACCACAATCAAATATTTGACACCAAACAATCCAAAGGCCACAGTAATCCACTTAACGATCACAATGACATCTATATTAAGTAGCACAAGTACACAGGGCACGTAGAACTAATCACCACTTCCCAATCAGCCACAGCATAGAGGATCTTTGCCTGCAAAGGGAGCACAACATATGTGAAGGTAACTATGATCTTCATCTCTGCCTGATCCAGTCCAATCAGCCATTCAGGGATCAAGAAAAGGAGCCAAAGCTACAGAATCACAGACCTGGCTTCTAAAGCAAACTTGCTAGCTATCCAATCTTCATACCATTAAATCAATTTCCTTGCAAATTCCCATAAGCAAGCAGTTAACCAAAGTAGGCATCTTTCTACAATGTTCTATGTCAATTATATCTTTCTACAACGTTCCATGTCAATTATATCTCAATAAAACTGGAAAAAAAACGCAACAAAGTAGGTATCTTTGCTAAAACTGTCTGAAGGGCTTATTGTGTGTGACATCCACATTTTAAAATGATTTTATAAAGAGTTTACATAACTAGTAATGATATCATTAACTATGGCTCAGTGAAAAAGTTAATCTCCAAATTTCAGATGACATTATAAACTTTCTTTTTTAAATAGAATTGTGATTTAGTTTATTTAAATAATCATCAATATGTAATTCCTTTTCTCACACTTGATGCATGTTTTCCTGCATGTTTACAACATATTGGTTTAATCAAATCTAAATTATTATCTGTAATAAATCAAAACTAAATTAGGCAAATGTACTGGAAAATAACATATCTTAAAGTAACAGTCTAGCCATCACGTGATATTTTATGTAGATTTCATTTATTAAAAATGATCCTTAAGCTCATTAAGGGGCTCCCGGGTGGCTCAGTTGGTTAAGCGTCCAACTTCGGCTCAGGTCACGATCTCACCGTCCATGAGTTCGAGCCCCGCGTCGGACTCTGTGCTGAGAGCTCAGAGCCTGGAGCCCGTTTCAGATTCTGTGTCTCCCTCTCTCTCTGCCCCTCCCCTGTTCATGCTCTGTCTCTGTCTCAAAAATAAATAAACGTTAAAAAAAATTTTTTTTAAATAAAAATAAAAAAGAACAAGCTCATTAAAACAAAGTTTATTTTGCCAACTGTTTTCAAAAGTTAAGCAAATAAGTATATAAATTAAGTTCATATTTTTACCAATTTAGTTGTAAGAAGGTTACAAAAGTCATACATGTGGCAAAATAATTTAGTTTTTTAAAAACATTCAAACTGGAGCACCTGGGTGGCTCAGTTAGTTAAGCGCCCAACTTCGGCTCAGGTCATGATCTCCTGGTTCATGGGTTTGAGCCCCATGTCAGGCTCTGTGTTGATAGCTGGGATTCTATGTCTCCCTCTCTCTCTGCCCCTCCCCCCCGCTTGTGCTCTTTCTCTCTCAAAAATAAATAAACATTAAAAAATTTTTTTTAAAGATTCAAACCATTAAAATGAATACTGTCATAAGAAACAAGAGATTTTAGATTTCATTCAACCGGAATTTTCCACAAATCATTCCATTTCCATGAATTGGCCAGCAAAGCCTAAACAATGATCTGCCATCTGAAAAAATCTCTGATGTAACACAGTCGTTAAGTGAGACAAAAAGTCTTAGTGTTAAACGGTTTTTACCTAACAGAAATATTTGGTCTATTTGAATAAAACAGTCTTTGAATATTATTGTGAGTACATACACGGTATATGACTCTCATGTAAAGAACCACATTAGATTCACCACAAACATAAAAGGCCTTATTAGAAATGTTTCTACACAAAACACTTGTCAACTAGCCAACTATCAAATAGCCATCTGCAAAGTTTTCACTTTCATTAATACACAGAGTTACTATCTTTGCTTCCACAAAAAAATAAGATCAGTGAAATCAGAAATCGCACCAAACAATAAATTCTACCTGCATTCAGTATTGGCAACACTTTCCTGTGATCTGCTGTCTCACCTTCAATCCACAAGACTACCAATTTAAACTACGAAAACTCCATGTTGGCCTAGTTCCAACACCAACCTCACATCAAAACAAAGAAATGTTTAAAATAGTCAAACAGCCGTCTTCTACCAGATCCAAGATACAGTACAACGTTAAGAGTTTATTTTTCTCCTCTTCCTCTATGTACCTGTATAACACTAATCATTTCCAGGCAAGCACTTTTACTTCTTATAAGTAAACTCTGACCAGAAAATTGAAAAAAGTAGTCATAAAGGAGAGAACATGTTCAATTTAATATCACTGCCTCAAATCACCCATTCTTACTTCTATACCCATTCCACGGCCAATGATTTAAGAAATAATGTAAACCATGAAGAAACACTGTTTAATGTTCCAGCACTTTTAAAAATCAATTTCCAACAAGATAACAAGTGAATTATCAAATAGCAAATACTTTAGCCACACTATTATTCTATCATTAAAGAAATCATTTAAGGCCCCATCACCTCACCAACTAAAAGATAACTGTATTTGTTACTCTATAATTTCATTATCTTATTGTCACCGCATTGCTGTATGTTTGGCAACTCCACCATTCCTCTACAATAGACTTGATAAGTATGCCATTTCAGCACAGAAACAACAACCATCTTCCACAGTCATTTAAGTCCAAACCACAATGATATGTTACTAATTAATCAGACTATAACAACAGGTGCACATCAAACAATTCAATTATACCTTGTGCAAAAGACACAAATAAAAATCCATAAGTACTTACCTACAGTTGGGAGGAGGGTCCAACGTAATCTCTGCGAGTTCCTTCTGAATTCTTTAAAAAAGAGACAAAGTTATGTTAAAATGTCTTCACACTCTTAACAGTTCATTAAAGTGTTATACTTTTACACTAACACTTCCCATTTGTGTGTTTTTATTTTGAAACACTAATACTGTATAAATCATCATATACAATAACATTCAAGTAGTAACTTCTACCATGATTTTGGCAATGCACCTACAAAAGGTAAAAAGACTGGCCATGATCAGTACATGTAGCCTACAGAAACAACACTGACTTAAATTAAAATGTCACTGAACCACCGATAACACTAACCAAAATTTCTAGTTTAAATTGGAAACCTTTGTCACATTATTTATGGATCATTCCAACTTCTGATCTGTACAAGAACCTCCCCAAATAAGATGGAAAGATGATTATTAATTAAGGCTTCTGAATGATCCAAACCACTGATAAAGAATTATCAGGATCTCATTTCAACATGTGAAACTGCTATCAAAATACAAATGGGGGCACCTGGGTGGCTCAGTTGGTTAAGCGTCCAACTTCGGTTCAGGTCATGATCTTGCGGTCCGTGAGTTCGGGCTCCACGTCGGGCTCTGTGCTGACAGCTCAGAGCCTGGAGCCCGCTTCAGATTCTGTCTCTTGCTTCCTTTGCCCCTCCCCCACTCATGCTTTTTTTCTCTCTCTCTCAAAAATGAATAAATGTTACAAAAATTGTTTTTAATATAAATGGTATTCCTCCCTAAGCCTCTAGGTTGGAGCAGGTAGAGGCTTTCCAGTTTGACATTATTCCTTCTGCATGGACTATCCTAATAATATGCAGATAACCGTCTTAATGTCATTGCACGAGATTCATGCAAAAAGAACTTTTTTTAAAACCTGCTTTTCCCATGTGTTATTTTTCAACTTTGACTTTTAACTGCATCTAATTCCTTATATACATATACAAAGGCTAACAGTGCTACAACGTTTTAGAAGACTATACTTAAAATTTTTCAACTTTGACTTTTAACTGCATCTAATTCCTCATATACATATACAAAGGCTAACAGTGCTACAACATTTTAGAAGACTATACTTAGCAATCTCTTAACTAGCATTCTTCTCTTAAATACCATTATTAAAGAGAGGCTTCGTTAAACCAAGATACAAAAAAAGTTCTCAAAACCATTTCTTGTCCTTAGCTTTGGTTTTTAAACATGAGATTTGCTAACTGGATGCCTGTTATCTGGTAATTATTGTGATAGTAAATGGATGATAGTTACTAAAGTACCCTAAAAAATAAGAATCTGAAAACATTTACTCTCAATTTCATTTCATGTCTTCTTCAAGGCAACAAATGAAAATACAGAAATAGACGTGACTCCTCTGAGAGGACTGGCATCAATTTCCTAAAGGAATTGCATGTTACTAACATAATTTTCACTTTTCTAAGCCATGTGATTCAAGGTTGGGGAGGCATTATGAAGTTGAGAAAGACTTATAAGTTCAAAGCCAAAAACACTTTCATTTTAATTCTGCTATGCCATTAATTGAGAGTTATTCAGTAAAAAGACTGTTCACACCTGCATTCTCTTTCTTTCTCTCTCTCTGAGCCTCAGCTTTCTATCCTATAAAATGAAGAGGTTTATTTTCCACCCTAAAAAATGAAGAGGTTAACTTCATGATCAGTTTTATCTTTAAAACATATGATTCCTTCTGATACGGTTTCTATGATGTGTTCACATACATATAAAGTATATACAATCTATAATTAAATGAGAAATCTCAAAGATCTGATATAGAGGAACACTCTTTATGGATCTCACACAAATGCATACAACAGGCACTTGACAACTAATAAGTCCAGGTTAAGGACAGTAAACTAAGCACACACACATCCACCTCCTATCCCTTCAGGACTCCACTCGGGGCAGGCAGGAAAGGGCAGGGAGGCAAAATACAGAAAGTGCAAAAAGGAATAAACAGCAAAGAAAAGGAGATGAGAAGTTTCAGTATATTTTTGGAAGACAAAGCAGACAGGTGTAAATTAAACAGGTGGAGATGGCCAAGAAGGGGCTGCAGAGTGTGTAAAAATATAATAAAGACTGGGGCGCCTCGGTGGCTCAGTCAGTTAAGCATCCTTGATTTCAGCTCAAATCATGATCTTATGGTCATGGGACTGGGCCCTGTTTGGGGCTCTGCACTGGCAATGAGGAGCCTGCCTGGGATTCTCTCTTTCTCCCTCTCTCTCATTCTGCCTCTCCCTTGTTCCTGCATGCATGCCCTCTCTCGCCCTCTCTCTCAAAATAAATAAGCATTTTTAAAAAAGAATATAATAAAGACACATTATTAAGAGGAGGGGAGACAACCAGAAATGCCAGAAGAAAAACACCTAGGTAAGAAAAGCATAGATCAGGGCCCTGGGTGGCTCAGTCAGTTAAGCAATAGACTCTTGATTTCGGCTCAGGTCATGATCTCACAGTTTGTGAGTTCAAGCCCTGCATCAGGCTCTGTGCTGAGAGTGTGGGGCCCACTTGGGATTCTCTCTCTCCCTCCCTCTCTCTGCCCCTCCCAAGCTCTCTCTCAAAATACATAAACTTCAAAAAAATTATTCAACAAATAGGTGAAAATACTGTATATAATTTAGATTTATGCAGAAAAACCAATAGAAGGACTAAAACCAGAGATGGCTAAGAGAGAGAGAGTCTGCTTCAAGACAACTGGGATAGGAAGGTATTTGGACAGAAAATTGTTGCTTTCCATTAAATAGGTCTCTGTACTACTTAGTTAGCAGAAACACGAATAACTTATACAAATTGTTTTTAAACCAAGAGGACCAAAAGAATAGGCATTCAAGAGTGAGCTTAAACTGTCAATGTAAACTTTTTGACATAAAAGAATTTCTTTGGGATTTTCAAATAACTCATCTTACTTTATGCTTACACTGTCCCTTTTCATTTAAAAAATTGATAAATCAGGGGCACCTGGATGGCTCCATAGGTTAAGCATCCGACTCTTGATTTCCGTTCAGGTCATGATCTCACGGTTTGTGAGACTGAGCCCTTTGTTCGGCCCTACACTGATAATGCGGAACCTGCTTGAGATTCTCTGCTCTCTCTCTGTCCTCCCCTGCCGCCCCCAACACTTGTGTGTGTTCTCTTTCTAAGTAAATTTTTAAAAAGCTGATAAATCATAATTTTCTGTCAAATAATGGAACTTGAACACCTCTGGATGTCTATAATTCCAGATCTAATTATATTCAATACAAAAAGCAATTTATTGATAAACTTGACAACTCTAAGCAGTGAGTCAATATATTAAAATATATTTTGTGCCACACCTAAGAATGGATATATTTCTCTTGACAATATATTCATTGCTTTTCTTGACAGAAAAGATTATACTAAGAATTGCTATTTAAACAGTTGCAAGATGTCCTGCTGCTTTCAATGACAGCAATTCAATTCTATCTCAAAAGCTGTGATCATGGTATGTATTAAGTTTCGCAGTCTTGACATGTGGGGTAAGAAAGGTAGCTATTTCAGGCACTGTCCCTTAGGGTGAGGAAAAATGAAAAAGTATCAATAATTCACACTTACAGTGTACCTTTCACATGATGATCTTAGTCTATTAAAAGTGAATTAAATAAATCTCACAAAATTCTCTAAGCATTACTGTTTTATCATTTCCCATTTAAAAGATAAGGAAACTAAGGCTAGTTATTGTACACTGGTAAGGTGAGAGGCAATTATCTTGCTAAGTCAAACAAATAAATAACCTCTCTCTTATCAAAACGTTGAAGACAAAATTATTTCTTTATATATAAATCAACTAGACAATTGCCTAAATTCCCAATTTCCATCTAGCAGTGCCACTTCTTTGGTTATTAAGATACTTAAGTCAGCAAATGCACATAGTTATGGAGACAAGTCAGAAGCAAAATACAAACTAAATTTCAGTTTGAAAGACTTCACCTAATACCTTAACTGTTCCAAGAATGGTAAGAGTTACTGCATGTGACTGTCATTCGCTAAAAAGAATGGAGTGAGGGGAGGGGAAAAGAAACAACAATCAGGATTCATTTAGACTTAATTGAAGAATATGGTACCAAAATCATAGATATGCTTATGCTTACACTGTCCCTTTTGATTTAAAAGAAGGTATGAAGCATGCGTTTTAACATCAACATATTGGTTTAATGGCTCAGAAAAAATGAAGCAGTACATGTGTACTGACATATTTCAAACACACATATTTCAGGTTAAAGAAAATTCAGGGGGGGCACCTGGGTGGTTCAGTCAGTTAGTTAAGCATCCAACTTCAGCTCAAGTCATGATCTCACATGGGTTTGAGCCCCTCACTGGGCTCTGTGCTGACAGCTCAGAGCCTAGAGCCTGCTTTGGATTCTGTGTCTCCCTCTCTCTCTGCCCCTCCCCAGCTTGTGCTCTCTCTCTCAAAAACAAATAAACAAACATTAAAAAGGGGGCACCTGGGCGGCTCAGTTGGTTAAGCGCCTACTTTGGCTCAGGTCATGATCTCGCAGTTTGCCAGCTGGAGCCCGGCATAGGGCTGTGTGCTCACAGCTCAGAGTTTGGAACCTGTTCTGGATTCTGTGTCTTCCTCTCTCTCTCTCTGTCCCTCCCCCGCTATGGTGTGTGTGTGTGTGTGTGTGTCTCAAAAATAAAATAAACATTAAGAAATTTTTTTAAAAACATTAAGACAAAGACGATTCAGGAACTCACTCAGGTCCAAGTAGAGCATGAATATTTGGACATGGGAATTCACAAAGGTATTTTCTTAACAGTTATTTAAAAAGAAAAAAGTGTGCCACCAAAATGCCTTTCTATATTCTTAAATGGACTGTATTCCTTGGCCACCTGAGAACTCCCTAACCAACTGAATCAACTGGTGGTCAAAACCTTTGAAAATGAAATTATTATCAAGAAAAACACCACTCAATTAATCACTAAATTTTTTTAAATTTCAAAGTAGTCTCTGAATTAACCTAGAAAAGACAGAGTCAATGCACATAATAAGCCTAAAGTTTAATTCTGAATGGTGATATAAACTATATATCCGTGATTTTTAAGATATCCTCAATAAATACTTTTGCACAATGCATCCTGATTTCAGAAACATTAAAAAGTTTTTATGTGTACATTTAGAATCAAGAAGATGAAGTAATTATAAAAGATTATCTATAAAGAGTACTAATTCATTCTAATGTAGAAAACTATAATAAACGTTTACGCTGGAACACACTGGAATCCACCCTTCAACCTAACAAAAATTTAGAGTCTAAAACCAAATAGCAGTATGTCCAGTAAAATCACAATGTCAACTCTAAACAAAGTTAATTTGGAATAAATGTGATTTAAAATTCACAGTTACAGATGTGTCAACACTTGAAAGCAGTACAGTCAATTCAATGACGAGCTCAAAATAACTGTTTTATTGAACTGACTAGTCAATCAAATAAAATCATCAAAATGTGTCACTGCTAGACATAGTCCAACTACATACTTGCAAATATAACAAGTGATATAGACATTATCAAGATAAAAGCACATCAATTTTTTAAGAAATTCTTGCCAAGAAGCAAAAACTGATCAAATATGTAACTATAATCTTCCTCTTACCTCAAAATAGATGAAATTAACTTATACCATTGTTTAAATAAAGTGTCCACTTAAATGATTCCTATATTCTACGTCACTCTTCCATAATACCTTAAAAACTGAGATTTTTTTTTTAAAAACACGTTTCTACACAAAAGTATTAGTTCTTCAGTTACAGCACATTTCATGCAATTGAGCACTTATGTACAACGTACTTTTCTTGAGTTACATAAAATACACATAATCACAGCATCTGAGTATTTCTAGTTCAACAATAGTATTATGTCCTCAAAGGTTAACATAGATCTCATTTTCCTAAAGTTTATCAAATGAACTTAAAAAACATCTACAAGACTTTAAGTGGCACAAAGTCTATAAATGACAGCACCACTGTATGAGACCTTACTAGATGGCAAATAAATGCTTTATCATATTTAGTCCTCATGACGGCCTTGTGAAGAAGTACCATTATTATCTCCATTTTACAGAAAAGGAAACTGAGGTTGGAAACGTTAAATTATGTATCTCAGATCACAGAGCTGCTAAATGCCAGAACCTACAATCAAACCCAGATCCCAGCTCTAGAGTCCAAGCTGTGTACTTCTTCTGATAAATTATCTCTTATAAAATTACACTATATGGAAAAAGAGTTCTCATCTGAATAAAAATTAACAATAATAAATTAGAATTTTATTTTGAAATGATCTCTAACTTTGAATCTTCTGCACACATTAGTACTGGGATCTTAATTACCCATGGAAGAGCCAATCCCTACAATCAAATCAAGGTTCTAAAACACCTGTAAGTAAATACTGTGACTCTACTATGGTAGGCACTATAGATATAATGATGAATTTAAAAGATGTGGGTCTGCCTTCCTGACTCTCAAATTTTTCCTGAGTTCTTAGAACTTAAGCAAAGATAGAAAAAAAAAATAAAATAACTTCACTATCAACTAAGCTGGAGGAAAAGATGAGTGAAAAATTAAGCTTTCTCTTTTAACTCCGACAACACTTCCTACTCTAACCACTGCAATAACATCAATTACTATTATGCGCCGATCAGGCACTGTCTTGGATTCTTTACACACACGTACTATCTCAAAACTAGGACTTATCCTCTTTTTAAAGGGGAGGGGGAGGGACTAGGTTTGACTATATAATGTATACTTCGGGGTTTTTCTTTTTATTTTTTTTAATGTTTACTTATTTTTGAGAGAGAGACAGAGATAGAGCACGAGTGGGGGAGGGGCAGAGAGAGAGGGAGACACAGAGTCCGAAGCAGGCTCCAGGCTCGAGCTGTTAGCATGGAGCCTGATGTGGGGCTTGAACTCATAACCTGAGCTGAAGTCAGACACTTAACCGACTGAGCCACCAGGTGCCCCTATAATCTATACTTTGTACACACTGTAGTAAAATAAAGTAAAATATTACCCATGTACTTGAAAAAATCATGCAATCCTCACTTTCACACATTGTACACTTAATGATCTCTCACACACAGAATTTGGTCTTTTGATACATCACTCAATTATGATTTTGAGGGATTATGGAGATCCTCCTAATGAGGGGGAAAGGCAGGGCCTCATGAAACAGAAAGGAGTCTTTGCTAACTAGCATCATGGGACAACTGAGCACAAACCCAGGCAAAGCACTATCCCAACTCTACTTCCCACAGACCTGGACAGCCCATTCTCTCCCTTTTCTGACAAGCTGAAGATGCCCTGTGAAAATCCTTATTATCAGAAGCTGATGACTAAATTACAGTTTCCTCATTTACATGCAGGTATACTCTATAACTGAGTATCTCTTATCCACTCACTCACCCCAACCTCCTTCCTTTCATCTTAATGTCATATTTTCTCCATTCCTACCTTTCTTATCCATACTAACTCCACCCCACATTTCCCAGCAGCAGGTCATTTTGTGCTGTGGCCAGCCAGCAGAGGGGTCGTCGGGTCAGCGGACTAAAGCCCTCTGGACTTGTGGGGAGATAGCAAAACTAAACGGAACCCTGTTCTCCCACACTGGCATGTTCTAGTATAGAGGTTTAAAGCTTGAGGCTACCTGACTTTCACACCACTCCTTCAAGAGAGATCAGAGACCAGCAACACACTTCTGGGAAGGAGTTGACTACCCTAGTCCCTTGGAGTAAGTTGCTGACCACTCACTATCACCCCAACATCTCTCCCTAGAAGCTCATGTCCCACCAGGAGGCCTGAGAAGGTTCTTCCCAATCCTGTGGATTGACTACACCAGAGGCAAACAAGGTCTACTACACCATAATGGTTTTGGATCATCAGGAAACAGATCCTCCTAATTCATACTATCCAATAAATATAAAGCTATCATTCAACATTCACATTCTACTATGTCTAAAAATTACAGAATGCTTTCATTATGCTTCCTATTCGATATTTTTTAAAAGGTATTAGAAAATAAGACCATTAAACCACAAAATCAGGAAAAACTGTATTAAATTTAGTTTACTTCTAAATTCTTTTCCAAGACACATTCTATAATTAAACAATATTAAAGCAGATTCTCTGGTGAGTCCAGTCCTCATAAGCAATTGATGTGGTAATAGAGACTCATTTAAATATCTACCTTCCAGATGTATCTATTGTCTAGAGAAAAAAAATCTGTATCAAGACAGAGCCACTGCCTTATATAATGAAACCAAGATATGTTTGTTGCTAACTTCAGCATTTCTAACTTTACTAACAAGTAGTAGAAAATATACATCATTCACAAACTATTTTAACAGATTCCTACTCACTCTTCCATGTTGCTCAACAGAATAAAATATTTATGGTCAAGTAAACCAAACTACCACACTTTTACACACGTTTTCCTATATATGCTCACTTATTAAATAATACAAACACACACAATGAATATGTATTTTTATGAATTTGTCTATTCATATACAGATTTATTACATTTATTACATTACAGATGTATTCAATATACAGATTTATGAATCTGTATCCCAAATAAATGATTAAATACAAAAGAGAGAACTTAAGATGATAACTAGATACTAAAACCAAAAAGGTTAAAATTATTAAGGTACCTTTTAGCACTAGTTGACAATTTAGCAGCTGTTTTGCTGGATATTTTTCCCTCCTTTTTCTTGGGCTGAACTTGCTCTCTTTCTGGTTCTTGCTGAACACTTTCACGCTGGTCTCCATCAGAACTTCCTCCACTAGTGCTTGGACTGTCATCAACTCTTTGTGCCTCAGTGGACATTTTAGATCCTGGAATAAAAATCAAAGATCATTTATTTAGTTGTGGGAGGACGACAGTAAGTTACCTCTAGAACAGAGAGGAAGAGAGCCTGCAAGTAGAATCAGTAAAACTAATATAAAATGAACAGGGTGGTCATTTACAAAACAACTTTGGGAGCTGCCAAAACTTTTCTTTCAAAATGTACTGAGAAGAAAAAAGAAAACATACAAAATGTATACACAAAACATTCTTAGCAACATTATTCATAGAGCCAAAAAGAGGAAACAACTCAAATGTCCACTAACTGATAAATGGATAAACCGAATGTGACATAGCCACACAACAGTGTATTATTCATCCATACAAAGGAATGAAGTACAATACGTACACACCACAACATGGATGAACTTTGAAAACATCATGCTCATTGAAAGAAGTCAGTCACAAAGGACAATAAACTGTATGATTCCATTTACACAAAATGTCCGGAATAGGCAAATTCACAGACAGAGAAGTTGGTAAATGGTTGTCAGGGAGTAGGAGTGAGGGAAGAATGCAGAAGGACTGCTAATAGGTATAAAGTATGCTTTTGGGTTGATGAAAATGTTCTTAAATTAGATAATGGTGATGCTGTGGGGCGCCTTGGTGGCTCAGTCGGTTAAGCGTCCGACTTCGGCTCAGGTCATGATCTCACAGTTCATGAGTTCAAGCGCCTCATCAGGTTCTGTGCTGACAACTCAAGAGCCTGAAGCCTGCTTTGGATTCCTTGTCTCCCTCTCTCTCTGCCCCTCCCCTGCTCACATTCTGTCTCTCTCTCTCTCTCTCTCTCTCTCTCTCTCTCAAAAATAAACATTTAAAAAAATGTTTTAAAGATAATAGTGATGTTGTACAACTCTAAATATTCTGAAAAACTACTAAGTTAAAATTCTCCAAGCTAGTCAATTATTTTAAGTAACCTTTCTGATAACAGAAGAACACAAAAGAACACAGAGGCCTGCATGATTCTAAATAAAACCTGAACCATATGATGGTGTCAGCACTGATCGAGCAATATACCAAGCAACTGTGTTTCACAAGAAATGGAGACTGTATTGAGATGGTGAAGGATTCTTTTTTTTCCAGCCTTGGATAAAATATCCCTAAAGACTTTCAAATTCCCTTTGCTCTTAGTTCATGTTCCCCAAGCAGCTCTAATTCTCAACTCAATTTCCTTAATACCTACCTTGATACATAGGTATATAACTGCTATAACCTGGCTAGCAGATACAAAAAAATTCTAGTAAGTGAAAAGGGATATCCCCTCTGAACTGTCATTCCATAATAATCAATTCCTGAGTTTGGTTTCTACGAAGACATTCCTTAAACCAAACTAGCTTAAAGTGTACTGACAACTCTAACCAAACTGACAAATCAATGTCCAGACTCAAAAGGGCCTTGTGCTCACCATGTTACCGACACCTAAGAAGTACTTTGTAAAAGAAAGATACCTCAAATAAAGCACTGTTTTTTATTACTGTAATTAGTCTAAATGTATAGCTAGTTGACGGTGATGAAAATTCACCACCACCGAAGATTTAACTTACAGCTTCCTCTAAATGAAAGTGATTTCATAATACAAGTCTTTAATGGATTGAAATTTTTATGGTAAGACAAACCAAAAAGCACTGCAAGAGAATGATCCGGATGCAGAGAGGTGAAGAGTCAACAGAAGATACTGAATGCCTTCAAAGACACATCACACAAACACAACACCACCCCTCTCAACTCCAACAGCTCCCTTCCCCCAGGCCAAACAAAAATACATCTGTACAAGCAGCTCTGAAAACACACTGACAGAGAAATGTGACTGCTCTTCTACCTGTTCTGTAAATGAAGATCATCAGTCTCCACAGCTGTGACATCTTTTATGAGCACTAAAGTCACTTAATAGAATACTGAAATTTTATACCAGTATGTTTCAAGTCTAGCTGTAACAGTCCTAACATATATTTCTTGCTTTTTTTTTTTCATTTTTATTTCACTTTAATTCTTATCCTTGGATTTAACATTGATTTTTTTCCAGCTTCTTTCAGTTAAAATATATCAGAAGTTCAAAATCTTATAAGTATGTACATAAAAGCGTGTTAGAGCAGATGCACATGGAAGTGAGAAAGAGAACAATTCTCAGGGAAAGGTCCTTGGATATAGCAAAATGCTGTTGGCAATATTTTAAGAAATGTGAAATGAGTGAGAAATCATTTTATACATCTTAAACCAGAAGCAACCCATTGTATGAAAAATATACAGAAGCCTAAATGAAATAAAATTCTTTTTTACTGAACTTGGTCCTTCAGTTTAATAATCTATGCCTAGAATTTCAGTTCTATCTTACATTAGTTATAAAGCTACACATTCTTCTCAATGTTCTTATTTATGTACATTTGCACAATAATAATGCTATGAGTATATAATTACTTGAAAGATTACTCAATGACTCAATCTGAGCCAAACTCAACTTTCAAACACCACTCCAGAATATCAGAAGACTAATCTCTCCAGAGAATTATGAAAAAATACTATTATGGAGCTCCCTGGCTGGCTCAGTTGGTAGAACATGCAACTCCTCATCTCAGGGTTGTGAGTTCAAGCCCCACACTGGGTGTAGAGATTACTAACTAACTAAATTAAATTAAGAAAAAAAAAACTATTAAAAATATCCAAGTAGGGAGTGAGTGCTAATAGGTATGGAGTTTCTTTTCTGAGGTGCTGAAAATGTTCTAAAATCAGAGAGTTGTGACGGTTGCACATCCTTGTAAATATACACTAAGACCACTTAGTATACTGTATACTTTGAAACAGTGAGTTTTGCAGTATGTGGAATACATCTCCATAAAGTGGTTATTAATAAAATGGATTTGAGTCTCAGTGTGTTTGGCCGCTGGGAGTCTAGAGAACTGACAGATCAAGAATTGAATGGAGAAGTATTTGAATATGTGGATACTAAAAGAAGGCCAACAGAGGATAAGTATTAGAGGAAATCCTTGGCTGAAGAAAAATTCTTGAAGTGTACCATATAGACAAAAAAGTACACAAATGTTGAGTGTTGGCCAATGAACTGTCACGAACTGAACACACTTGTGTTACCAGTATCCACACCAAGAAATACAGCATATTCATCACCTCCTGTCACTACCCTAACTTCTAATACCATGTCTTGCCCAACTTTTAATTTTATACGTAGAAATCATATGATGATATACTCAAGTTTGTCTCCTTTCCATAAAAAAAGAAACCCAAATAAATAAAGGTATAATTTCTATAGTTTCACAATAAAGAAAAATAGTTCATTTCCACTTTTGACCTAAGACAACTTTATTTCATCTGAATCTTAACCTACGGATAAGAAATTCATCTGAGACCACTAATAACCACTACAGAAACTTTTAGAAACAAAGTTTTCGTTTCTTTTTCAAATATCAAGAGTAAGGCAAATTTCCACTGATTTTGGTTTTTAAATGCCTAAGTACAGAAAAAAGTATTGGAAAAAAATTACTGTGCCACTCAGGTGACAACTAATTTTTACGAAGAAAAAGCAGTCTACAAGCATTTTAATTAGGTATAAGTATGAAATTGTTTTGTCTTTCCAAAATACAAATGAATAAAAAGTCATGAATTAAAAGTCTTTAAAGTTATCTTCTAAATCAGCGTTTTTAAATTATCTTTAAGATTAATTCCTACTTAGCTAATTTGATCGAATCATAGAAGGAAGATAAACTTAAATTCCAGAGTTATAAACATAGTGTTCTTCTTCAATGATAGTTTCAAAGCTAATAAGATATCCCAATTTCTATTTTTATTATGGACTCAAAGTAAATCTTGGTTTCTAAACATAAAATAGAAAGGTGGACTTTTCCTCAAACATGTTACATTAAAAGTTTGGATGTTGTTTCTTCTTCAACACACAAAATAATCTTGTATTATAGCTGTGTATTCTATGTCGTAATTACATGCAGTCCTGGAAATCAGCCACATAATAAATGAAACTCACATGTTCCATAAAAATGAAATGATTCGGTTATAAATATAACTGATAACGTAAAAGCAACTATAGTCACTTCATAAATCCAACTACTGTCCAGATAAGCCTTATAACTGTATCTCATGGTATAAAACTGCAAAAGCAAATGTTCATTTGAGCTTTTACAACAGGAAAACGCTTAATCCTGTCTTTTGATATCTTATTTGTCTTCCTACTCAGATTTCTGAACTTACCTAAAATGTAAAATAAAATACAATTTTTGAAGAAAAGGCGCTGTGTTCTGGGGGAGATATAATGGGCTATGACATTAAACACTATCATCAGCATCAGCCCATATGCAAAAACACTAAAGAGCCAGAGCGTCCAAACCGCTGAGACAATCATTTAAATTGCAAGGTCCAGACTGAATTATCACATATACAGAAACATACTTTTTAAAGAATTAGGAATAAAAAAAAAAAAAAAAA